CCCCCCCTTTACCCATCCAAAATAAGCCTCAATGTGGATAACTGGTGAAACCGACTTCTACTTTACGCCTTAATAAAGAATCGTTTCATGAAAAAAACGACCTAACAGCTCTTTTACATCTTTCTTTGAAGAGTTCGCAAAATCGTTTCTTGAGGTCAAAGATTAGAAGAAAAGACAAGCCCAGGCATACAACTGACCGGACGTTATCACAAATCAAGAAAGCACTCAACATCTTTGCTGTAACTAAAAAAAAATTTGAAAAAAAGGAAACGAATCACAGCTTCTGTTTATTCATGTGAACAAGTATTCTGTTGCTTTCGAAAGATCCCATGAATTGCAACTGAGTGCAGAGATAGCCTGATCCTGAAAAGTGTTTTAACTTGCAAAGGTGTATCAGGCGTTTGGAAAAAAACGGAAATCTCATTCACCAGCAATGCCTGTGGTCTCAGGGAAGTAACTAATGATACTAGCGATTCTTTGAAACTCAAATTATTTCGAGTGAAAAAAGTACCTCCCAAAAAAAAAGTATCAAAAGGAAGCCGCGCAAAAGAGGGTGATTTAGGTGTGCATTTAATCTATGATGTCGATTTTTTGGATGCTGTAAGTCACTTTCGTTCGCTTTCCCATTAGAAACAAAGAAACCAATCAATTATTCGTTTATTCTTTATTATTTCTTGCCGAAAGGACACGCCTAGGTATACAGCTGGCCTAGGTATATCCTTTGTCAAGGGAAACAAGTTTACCGGTTAATCTAGGTGGATATTCTCGTTAGTGATATTACTGGGATGCTCGCATACATCAGTTGTAGCTAGGCTAATCCTTCAGTTGAGCCAATTAAATGTGAAAAACAAAGTAAACTAAAGTAAGTGATTCCTTCACAGCTCTTTTAGCTTCCTTTTTTCAGGTACAGCTTAGTAATTTTTACAAATGGAGCTGTGTAATGGCTAGCTTCCAATTAATTTTTGCCTGAAAATGGGATTCCATGTTGCAACCGGCAAGGGTTGGATCCAAGCTCAATTCTTGTCTAGATTTACAGAGATCTACGATTCAGGACCAAAATACCAACGTGGCTTCTAGCACAAACCAGATGCTAGTACGAGAAAATCTTAATTCATAAAGCCAAAAGTACTGCCTTTATTTGTTCTAATGAATAAGGAACGAACCTGCGAAACTCCCATATCTTGAAGTTTGTAAACTCTGCTCCAGAACTCTTCGTCTCCGTCACCGCCTGCATTTGCATAATGCTGCGACCAGAACCTGGCTGTTCGCTAAAAATCGAAAAATCACAATTTGTTAAGATGAAAAATATAGTTTTTTACCAAAAAAATGAGCATAACTTAGATCAACTTTACTTCTTTCTCACACACTTTTATCTCTACTTCACCGATACTAATTCTGATAACATATCTATTTAAATTAAAATCAAATTCATACTAATTACCACAATCGTCGTACTGACGAGGTCCAATTGCGATAATGGTAAGAAATGTATACGACTTAATGGACCGAAACATTTAACTTATCCTTTACAAAATATTTTGCTAATTTTACTAACTTTTTATTGATTTCTTAACACCACTAGCTTTCTTGTTCCAACATTAAAACATTTTATTAGCACAGGAAAAATTATTAAGAAAAATGTGCACGTATTTTATGCACATTTCTTGAGTACGTATATTTTCTGCACATTTCTGTTGTAGCATGTATTTGTTACGCCGGCGTAATTTCATGTATCCACCTCAGAAGAGCTTCACTTTCTTGCCCTTGATCCATTTTTCTGTGTTTTCTGAGCCTTGCTTCTAAATAAAATTTGAATATCGTTTCCCTAACTCCCACACATCTCATTTTTTGACCTCACATTATGTTCTGTAATTAATTTTTCCTTCCAAATGTTTCATGCAATTGGTCTGATCTGAAATAGCAGAATGGAAGGATTGGTCTTAAGTGCCATGTGACGGAGGACATTTTACGATGTGATTAGTCTGTGTTTCATCCCTTAGCTGTAAATACAGACCGCGCAATGTATGCAGGTAGGAGCGGGAATCATCAGTACAGCCTCCTAGTCGCCATGTTCTGAACAGTCATGTGGCTAACTTGCGGGACAGAAATCTGAATGAAGCAGAAGTCAGAGAGGGAGGGAGCAAACGGAATGAGGGATAAGAGAAGGAAGACACAAATGAAATAAATATGAAACAAAATATAAATAACTGGAGAAAGTTGGCAAATATGGATTTCACTCGCTTCAAATCACAAAAAAAAAAATCCGGAAAAATGAGCACTAATGCTTAAATCACCACATATACGAGAGCTTCGTAAAAATTACGCCTATAACGAAAAAAAAAAAGTTAACTGACCTTGAAAAGTGCCTGACTGTCCATGTATTGCTTCGCAACAACAGCGTCTTGAGGATCACTCGGCTCCGGCAGTGTCAAAAGAGCTTGAATACTAAGTAACACAGTACGGAGAGTAAGCGATGCAGCCCTACAAAAACGAATAAAATGAAAAAGGTCAACAAAAACCTAACTCAGATAGAGCAGCTCAAAAAACAAGGCACAGAAGTTACTAAAACACTGTACAGGCGATTAAGGGAGAATGAAAGATTTCAAAAAATGACACATACAAAGAAGTCAACTGCATAGTAATGTACCAACGCCACGTGTATGTCCATGTAAAAGTGTAAAAGACTATTAAAACCAAGACACTTTGTCAAAATGGCCGGAGATCCCTTTCGAAAATAGACGCGAACTTGGTAGGAAACGAATCACTCTCCTTCACACTCGAATGCGAAGTGCTACCCACTACATCAGGCATGGGCAACCTTTGACAGCACGCGGACCTGATTCACGGATTTACTCAAGCTCGCGGGCCACCTTTTAATAAAATTCAGGTAACAATGCACGGGGCTTGCCCCTGCAACCGTGCGTTTTTGCTCTAAACTTGGTGCAGTCAGATCGTTATGAATGGTCGTTGCTCTACAGTTTAACACGTGTAACTTATGTGTCCTGTTCCAGTCTTTTCTTGCATGCTGGGGCTGGAAAGGGCTTCGGCTGGGACGGTAGTGTTGCATTATGGTTCTTCTGGTTGCCGAGTTGAAAACGAGCGACAAAGTTCACTCGCTTCTGAACGCACACACGCACACACACACACACACACACGCACACACACAGGCATTCTCTTAAAATTACTGGAGCACATATATTTTGTATGTAAGGCACTCCCGCACAACGCTCTGTACCGTCTGGCTGCGGCACTTTGTGCAGCACACCCTTTCAACAGTTGCCGGCTTTTCGAGGGTTTTTCGTCAAAAATGTAGAAAAGCCGATCTCAAAGTAGCATATATAAAGGAGATGTGATCAGTCCTGGAAGAGAGGAGACTTTTCATTGCAATGTCTCGGCTACTACTTTGCAAGCTGAACGCTGTCAGTAGAAAAAAAGAAAATCAATTTTCCAATTAGACAACTCGAAAAACAAATAAGGTGGAAAAGCAGCACAATGAAGGCAAAAAGAGTAGCATATACCGTGGTTTACATGAAAGTGGACTGGGATGACAGTTGCTGAGTAAAACATCTTTTTTAACCGATTTATGGCATTGAGCAACAGAAGTCAGAAAAATGTAACACACATACACACAGACACACCCACAGACACACACGCACACACAGACACACACACACTGCTGATGGCAGAATCTGTTTAGTAATGGAATTTTCACTTACCACTGTTCCTTGAGTATATCGAGGCATATGGTGCCTGTCTGCGAGCTTATGTTTGGATGCCAAATGCGTGTCATGAACTTCACCTAAAATTGTCTTCCATAATCTTTGCAGATTCAAACAAAGAAGGCAAATTTAACCTCATTTTTGACAGCGTAGTCAAAAAGTCAAAAAAAAAAAAAAAAAAAGGCTTAGCACAATTCAAAATTTCCCACAACTAACAATTACCGTGCAAAAATGGTATATTTGTCCAAACCTTTCTTAGAATTTGAAGGAAATCAAAGTGCTCACGGAAAAAGCTGAGAAATGTACTGCACTCAAAAAAACTATCCATTACCTGTCGGGATATAATTCTAATAACTTTATGTGCACACATGCCCTCTAATTGTTCAGCCTAACTTCTTCCACCTCATTTTTCGGATTCCAGTTTAATAAGATCGACTTTTTCCTACTAAAAGTACCGATTTACCCCGACTCCTACCGTCATTCACAAAATTCTCCCTTCCCCCCCCCCCCCCCCCCCCCCCCCCCCCCACCCCC